CGTTGATTAATCAAGATCAACTCATACCTAAAATTGTCACAATTACCATTATAAAAGAGTTGGGTCCTGTTTTAATTAGCTTAATAATGATAGGAAAGGCAGGATCTTCAATTGCAGCAGAGATAGGGACAATGCGCATCACTGAGCAAATAGATGCTCTTACAACTTTAAATGTTCACCCTTTTAAATACTTAATTGCACCAAGAATTCTAGCTTCAGTGATAGTATTTCCAATACTGACTGTATGTGCTGATTTAATAGGAATGTTTGGAGGATATATCACTGCGGCAGCAAAATTTGACCACAATTTGAACACATATGTCAAGTATACAGTCTTATCTTTTGATATGTATGATTTTATTATTGGATTAGTAAAGTCTACTGTATTTGGAGCTATAATTTCTATTTCAGGTTGTTATTATGGTTATCATTGCTGGAGAGGTGCTAGAGGAGTTGGTTTTGCTACAACATCTACAGTAGTTTCATCTTCCATGCTAATTATCCTAACCAATTATTTGATTACTCTAATCTATGCATAATCCTATAATTTCAATGTCAAATTTAAACGTGTTTTTCGGCGATAAGACTATATTAGACAACTTAAATGTTGATATTTTGAAAGGTGAGTCACTTGTTATACTTGGCGGTTCAGGAAGTGGCAAGTCTGTATTTGCGAAAACAATTATTGGTTTGTTATTACCAGATTCAGGCACTATTAAAATCAATAGTAAAAGTAAGAAGAATAGGTTTGGTGTATTATTTCAAAATTCTGCCCTGTTTGATTACATTACAGTATGGGAAAATGTGTTATTCAACTATAAAAAGCGTTTTAACATTAGTAAAAAAGAAGCTAGATTACTAGCAATAGAAAAACTGAAGGATGTTGGACTAGAGGAAAATATAGCAAATATGTTTCCAATAGAGTTATCTGGTGGAATGAAAAAAAGAGTGGCACTTGCAAGAGCAATTGCTCACAATCCTGAAATTATTGTCTTGGATGAGCCAACTTCTGGATTAGATCCAATTATGTCAGACTTAGTGAATGAGATAATAATGAAGCTATCTAAGGATCTTAAGCCAACAATTATTACGATAACACATGATATCTACAGTGCACTTAAAATAGCGGATAAAATAGCTGTGCTGAAAGAAGGCTCTATTATATTTCATGGAAGTGTTAAAGAAATACGATGTACTGATAATCAATATGTCAGACAATTTATTCAATATGTGAATGTAGAGTAATAAGCCTTTGTTTTCTCATTTTAATCATTAAGCTTGCCACAAAGCACATAATTAATATCAAAATTTTCAGTTAAGCACCATTCACTTTTTCTTATACTATATTCTATTCCAGTCATGTTGTATAATGCTACATTGTTCTTGCCAAAAAGATGTGCAATTTCTGAAGGTTTAAGAAATTTTTTCCAACTATGAGTTCCCTTAGGAAGCCAATTCAATATATATTCCGCTCCTACTATGGCAAGCAGAAAAGATTTGATCGTTCTATTTATTGTGGATACAAAAATCAGTCCTCCGGGTTTTAGTAACTCTATTGTTTTTTTTATGAAAAATTCTAAATTATCCACATGCTCAACTGTTTCCATCAAGAGTATCACATCATACTGTTTGTTGTTACTCAATTCTTCAACACTAGTATGCAAATATTCTATGTTATTTAAGCCAACTTTTTCTGCATGTAGCTGAGCTACTTTTATATTTTCTTTGCATGCATCTATTCCTGTAACATTGGCACATACCCGGGCCATTGATTCCGATAAAATACCGCCACCGCACCCAATGTCGAGTAGTGAGACATCTTTTAAAGAGCGCTGTTTCAGTTCTTTTATTTTATCAATTATATATTGTACCCTGATGGGATTAATTGCATGTAGCGGCTTAAATTTACCATTCTCATTCCACCAATCATTAGCTATTCTAGCAAACTTTGATATTTCTTCTTCATTGTAGGTTTTTGTTTCTGCTTTTTCATTGAGATTGTTGAGCTTAGCAAGACGTTTTTTATGCCTCTGCTCGTTTGAAAATTTCGTTTCTAAAAATTTTTTAACTATATCTTTTGCTAACTCGTCAGTAGTAAATCTTGCACCTAAACATAATACATTTGCATCGTTATGTTCACGGGCTAATTTTACAATTTCAACATTGTTACATAAAACGGCCCTAATTCCTTCAAAACGGTTTGCTACAATACTCATACCTGAGCCTGTACCACAAATTAATATACCGTAGTCTGCTTTTTTACTTTCTATATCTCTTATGACTTTAACAGCGTAATCTGAATAATCCGCGCATTTTTGCTGAGCAGTACAGCCGTTGTCTGTTATTGCATAGCCTAGATTTTCTAAATAAGATCTGAGTTTCTCTTTCAACCTAAAGCCGGCGTGATCTGAAGCAATTGATACTGTAAACATATAAGCAATTAACTTTGCCTAACCTTTGATATAAAGGTAGTCGACTTTTTATTTTTTGTCAATTTTGCTGAATGGTTAATTTTGTGTTAAAAAATGTTGACATGCTCATTTTATATGATATCTTGATACTAGTAATTTATTTGGAAATGCAATTATGAGTTTAATCACAAAAGGAAGGAAGCAGAGATATATCACTAGTACCGCTATAGGATTTTTTACATCTGCAATGGTTTTTACACTTTCTATACCAGCAGCAGCGGCTCTCGGTGCATATTTTTTAAACCTTACAAAGCTTGGTAATGCTATACCAGAATGGATGCAATTTATCAAAATTAGTGGGCTTGAGCATATGACACCTCAAATTAATGGTCTCTTTTATATGGGTTTAATCCTTGCAGCAATCACCACTACCGCAACTATTTATATGCTTTGTAAAATGCACAATAGTTCTAAAGGTGTGGGTAAAAGCGAATGCAAGTCAGAGATTTTTATTGTTGAAGAAAATCAACAAATAACTATTAGTGAAAACGGAAGTACAGATGTTTGTGTTACACTGCTAAAAGAATACCCTAGAGGATGTATTATAGCCAGCAAATCTGAAAGAAAGACAATAACGCTTAAATTGGTCAAGGAAGAAGAAGATGGTAGGTATAAATACGAAGTAGTGGATTATCAAAACACTGCAAACCCTCAAATAGAAAAAAAAGAATTTTCAAAAGATTTCTTTTATCAGAACACATCAGTGAGGAATGACGTCACGATATATAGCACCACACCTTCCAAACTAGCAGATGTACTTACTGCACCACTCAACAGAACTTCAACATTAAACAAGTAAGAAAGCTTCTAATTTAGAAGCTTTCTTACTATTATTTAGATGGCAAATATATCATATACTGTATACTCAGGTTCACAATTTTCTTTTTGGAGATAGGGAGAACTTAGTTTTATACTATATTGACCTATAGCATTACCATCACCATCATAAAATTTTAACTGAAGTGGAAGATAGCTAGAGCCGCTGTTATAGTTATATTCTTCTTCGATTTTTATTTTATCATTTGGTCCTGAATTACATGTTACATCATATTTTATTTTTGTTGTGCTAGAACATTGTCCATCTCTGCATGATGTATTGTATTCCGCATGATGATGATTAATTTTATAATCCTTAGTTTTTAATAACTCATGTTCATTTCCATTGATGTATATACTGAATTTATCGCCAACTTCTTGCGGACTAACTCTTAAAGCCCAAGTTTCTTCTTCACTTTTTTGCTGGAACTGATCAGCTAGAACCTGTATTCTTTCTGTTAAACTCTTATCGGTAAAATCTATATTATTCATAGGCATACTACAATAAAAAAACACTATATTTAAGTTATACATAAAAAAGTAGGTAAGTCAACTTTTAAAAATCTTGATTCAATGTGTAAATGTATGTACTCTAATAGACTAGGGTTTTAATATGAAATGAAAAGCTTGAAGGAATTATCCTTAAGGATTAAAAATATAAAATCTGTACAAAAGACCACTAAAATAATGCAAATGGTTTCTGCGGCAAAGTTATCAAAGAGCCAAAAGAAATTATTGCATTCAAGGTTATATATATCCAAACTGCACAACATTATTTCGTTAGTATCTAACCAAGAATTATTAGCGAAAATTTTCAATGTTAGGGGCAAAAACTCATGTTTAGCATTTATAATATCTTCCGATCGTGGCTTATGCGGTAATTTTAACTCTTCTATAGTTAAATTCAGTAGAGAGTATATAGCAATGGAAAATAGCCAAGTAGATGTTACATTTTTTGGTAAAAAAGCTTTTGATATTAGTAAAAATAAACTTGGTTCTGCAAATGTTTTAAAAGTCGAGAACAGTAAGGATATTACGCTAGAGGATGTTGCTGGCTATATAAAGATTCTGGATTTAAGTGTATATAGTAAAGTACAGATTTTTTACAATAAATTTCATAGCACCTTTTCACAAAAACCGACACTGGAAACAATAAAACCATGGAATGGTAACTCATCTTTAGTTGATAGTTCCTTAGCTAGTAAAGCAGCCTATGTTTATGAATATGAGCCTAACGATGTTGAATTTTTTCTTAGGTCCTTAATTGAGGATTATACCGTGGCAGCACTTTATTCTGCTTTGCTTGAAAGTACAGCAAGTGAGAATAGTGCTAGAATGGTTGCTATGGAATCGGCAAACAGGAATACTAAAGAAATGTTGAATAAATTGGGGCTTCTTTATAATCGTTCACGTCAAGCAGCAATTACAACTGACTTAATTGAGGTGATAGGTGGTGCAGAATCTTTATAGCAGTCTAAAGGATAAGTGATGGATATATTAAATATTGCTACAGATTTAGTGAAAAAATGTGGTCTATATGCAGAGGTAGTTATCTATGAAACCAGTAGTGTTTCAGTTTCTCAGCGCTTATCGAAAGTGGAACAGGTATCTCAGTCTAAAAATTGTACTATTGGAATTAGGGCTATAGCAAATAAAAATAAAGCTGCATATATTTCTACAAATGATCTCAGCAATTTGAGTGAAACAATAGACATGGTAGTAGAGATGGCGAAAAATGCGCCAGAAGATCCTTGTATCAATTTTGCTACAGAAAGCAGCAATTATATTGCTTTTGAAGATTTATCCATCTTAGAGCATAATGTTGTCAATATCGATGATTTAAAGAAAATTACTGATGTTGCAGAAAACTTAGCACTGGCACATGAAAACATTATTAACTCTGAAGGAGCATCTTCTTCATACACTTTAACTAATGTAGCACTGGCAACTGCTGGAAATTTTGTTGGTTCGTTTAGTAGATCAACTTTTACTAATCAAGTTTCTGTTGTTGCGGGAGCAAAAGGTGAAATGAAAGTTGGTTATGACTATGATATAGCATGTAATTTTGCCGATCTTAAGTCTCCAGAGTTAATAGGTCAAGAGGCTGCTAGAAGAGCTGTTTCTCAGCTAAATTCCCGTACAATAAAAACTGGTAAATTTCCTGTGATATTCGAGAAAAGGGTGGCTAAAGGATTAGTAAAAAGTTTTGCTTCAGCTATAAATGGTAGCAATATAACAAGTAATAGTTCTTTTTTGGGGAATAGGCTTAACACTAAAATTTTTAGTGATGGAATAGAAGTTATTGATAATCCATTATTGCCACGAGGCATAGCATCAAGGCCATTTGATGGAGAAGGTATTGCTAGCAGGGAAAACACCGTTGTAAAGAATGGAATACTGCAGAGTTGGATTTTAGATCTTTATTCAGCTAAACAGTTGAACCTTAAAACTACTGGGAATGCTGTAAGGTCTAGCAATTCTTCTGTTGCTCCTGCGGCTAGTAACTTTTACATTAATAACGGTAACGTTTCTTGCGAAGAGTTAATTGAAGAGATAAAGGAAGGAATATATATCACAGATTTGTTTGGCTTTGGTATTAACTTAGTAAATGGTGATTACAGCCAAGGTGCATCTGGGTTTCTCATCGAAAAAGGTAAAATAATATACCCAATACATGAAATTACTGTTGCAAGCAATTTATCTGATATGTTTAGCAATTTAACTGTTGCTAATGATTTAAGCTTCTGTGGACAATTCAATTCTCCAACAATTAAAATTCAGGAGATGACAATTGCTGGTTCATAAAATATTTGGTTGCGTGTGCAATAGCTATCATGTATCATGTAAGGCAATGTCAGGATAGACTATGGAAATAAGTTGCTCAGGAATTAAGTTTCACAGTTTCTCGTCACATTAGCATAGTAATTAATAATTTAGGAGTAATTCAATGGAATTTGGTCATTTAAAGTGGTTTAGCACCGAAAAAGGTTATGGTTTTATTACACCAGAAGGTAAAGGGGCTGATGTTTTTGTACATATCAGTACACTAGAAAGTTCAGGAATAAGGCCTGATGAACTTAGAGGGGAAGATAAAGCTAATGGAAAAAAAGGCCAGAAGGTAGGCTATGATTTAATAAAAAACAGAGAAGGTAAGATATCTGCTNTTTAGGTATTAACTGAAAGCTGCGTTGTTGCAGCTTTCAGTGTTTGTTATACATATGGCAGTTACTATCTGTTACCTATTTATAGTTTCGTCACTTTTTTTTATTGCACTAACATGAGGCTCTATTTGCAGCGGTCTATTGCTATTACTATGTAGTATAGTACGTGCCTGTGGGTTTTGCTGCATCAGTTCTTTAAATGCTTCCTCTTGGCTCTGTCCAGTGCGCATATTACCGCCACAATTGAAATCAATGCCATTTTCTACAATACGACACGACATGTTAAAGCACAAAGCAAAGCTTTCTTGTCGGTAATTATTAATATCTCCAATTTGAAGCCCGCGCATAATCACTCTACTATCATCCTCATACATCTGCATCATCATTGCACTATTTTGCATGTTATTACCATTTATATTTCTTACAATAACAGCCTGATTTAAACTATTTTCTTGAGATATTATTTCGATGGTTGACTGATTACCTGTATTACTGTGATTTCCACTACCTAATTCGCTTACCTCTTTCTCAATGCACTCCTCGCTAGTTGCTATTACTTTTTCATTCTGGGTGCCTGTATTTTGTTGATTTCTATTGATAGCTGAAAAGATAAGAAATGGTACTAATGAAATTACTATATTTAAAATAACACATGGAACCAAAACTACAAATGCAGCAGCGTATATCAGAAACTTAATCGTACCCTTTGCCGCTTTCGATAATTTAGAATCATCATTGTGAACTTCTACAGCATTTAAAAATAAGTATGTGCAGCCAACTAATGACGCTGTTATAGCGGTAGGCACTATAACTGGTATAAGTAGAAAAGCACTGATGAATTTTTTTCCTGAGCTTATAGAGCTATTATTCAGTGAAGCTGAATAATTCTGACCAAAGTTAGCAGCTTTTTTAGTAAGGGATAGAAAAAACTCACTACTTTTTTTAGACATTTCAATTGCCATAACTCCCTCTTTATTTTCAATAATAAGTTAAGCTTGTTAATAAAATTCATAATGTCAAGCTCTTTTTTCATACACCTTACTTCCATAGTTTTTCATTGTTATTTATTATTAACTTGACTATAGAGTCATAATATAAACTCTTTATTAAATTTTACTTGAAAAATCACTACGGCTGTTTTTTAGCCTTAAAAGGAGGTCTGTCATGTCTATAATATCAATTCTTGGCAGTGCGATTGGAAAGATAATCGGGTCGGGACTTGTTGATAAACAATTAGATTCTGTAATATTTGGGCTTGATGCTGAAAAAAAAGTGACGTATGGAGCTAGGTTGAAGAACTTACAAATCCAAACCTCAGCTTACGGGAAAGCAATACCAATAATTTATGGTACTGCTCGTGTTGCAGGAAATATAATTTGGGCACAGCCTCTCAAGGAGGAGACTAGTAGCAAAGAGGGAAAGAGTTTCAATGTCACTTACAATTATTATGCTACTTTAGCTATTGCCATCTGTAAAGGTGAGGTGAAAAAACTAAATAGAATATGGGCAGATACAAAATCACTGAGTTTTGATGAAATAGATTATACCTTTTACCATGGCACAGAAGAACAGAACCCTGATCCATTTTTCTCATCTATTGAGGACGTACCTGCTTACCGGGGAATATCCTATATAGTGATTAAAGATTTTCCTTTAGCAGACTATCATAATCGTGTTCCGACATTTACATTTGAAGTGCAATCTATTCTAAAATCTGAAGGATTCTCAATTGCAGAAAACATTAGAAATATCAATATAATTCCTGGTTCAGGGGAATTTGTCTATGATACAAAGATACAGAAAAAAATTGCACAGCAAAAAATAAATAGCAATCAATACATTACATATGGCCCTGCAAAAAGAATAAATCACAATAATTACACTAAGAAAAGTGATGCAGTGCTTTCTCTGGATCAGTTAAAAGACGATTTACCGAATATTGAATGGGTGTCGGTAGTAGTGAATTGGTTTGCAGACAATTTAAATATCGAAAATTGTAAGATATATCCTGCAGTTGAATTTCAGAAAGATTCTATTGTGGTACCTGATGATTGGCGAGTGGGAGATATAACCAGAAGTAATGCACAGTTGATTTCAAAGGATAATAACAGAAATCCAAGATATGGTGGCACAGTCAGTGATTCAGCACTGGTTAGATACATAGAGGAGCTGCACAATAGGGGCTATAAAGTAATGCTTTACCCTATGCTTTTACTTGATACAGAGAATAAAGAGTGGCGAGGTAGACTCAAAGGATCACCGGAAAGCATAAGTAATTTCTTTAGCACACAATATAATAATTTTATAGAGCATTACTCTAACATAGCTAAACGAACAAAAGTAGAAGGGTTTATTATAGGCTCTGAATTTGTTGAGCTTACTAAAGCGAAAGATGAGCATGGTAATCACCCGGCAGTTTTGGAGCTAGTAAAACTTGCGAAGCTAGTAAAACTTAACCTAGGAAAGGAAGTCACAATTACTTATGCTGCAGATTGGAGTGAATATCATTCACATGGTGGTTGGTATTATATAGATGAATTGTGGTCGTCTGAGTATATTGATGTTGTTGGTATAGATGCTTACTTCCCACTTACTGATGGACCTGAACCGCCTTTTGGTTATTCTGTGGAAGATGTGATTAATGGTTGGAACAGTGGCGAAGGATATGATTACTTTTACGACTATTCACAAGATAAACCGGAACAAGTGAAGTACAATGATAGTAGGTACGCATGGAAAAATATAGAAAAATGGTGGAGCGAGATTCATATTAATCCAGATGGTAGCTGCACTAAGTGGCAACCCAAAATGAAGAAAATTTGGTTTACTGAGTATGGGTTTCCTAGTGTAAATGGATGTACCAATGAACCAAATGTATTTATTGATAACAGCAGCAGCGAAAGTAAGTATCCACGTCATTCAAATAAAGAAATAAGCTTTCTTTCTCAGAAGATTGCGATTGAAGGAACGCTGAAGAAGTGGAGAGATTCAGAAATGGTGGAGAGAATGTTCCTATGGACTTGGGATGCAAGGCCATTCCCTTATTTTCCTAATTTATGTAAAATTTGGGCTGACTGTTATAATTGGCTAACTGGTCACTGGGTTCAGGGAAAAATCTCCTTACTTAATGTGTCTGATGTTCTATCAGATTTGCTGCAAAAGGCGGGGCTGAAAAAAGATGAGTTTGATACAAGTGATATTAAGGGGCTACTATCTGGGTATGTAGTAAATGATCAACAATCAGTGCGTTCAATCATTAATATGCTACAGGCTTGCTACTTCTTTGATGTTGTTGAGCAAAGCTTCAAGCTGAAATTTGTGCAAAAGGGTAGGGAAGCAGTAACAGAAGTACCGATTGATGATATGGTTCTTAATAGTAACTCAGGACAAGTACAGCTTAGTCAATTAGATCTAAGTAATAAAGTTAATGTTGCTTATTTTAATCGTAGTCTCAACTACTTAGTTGATGTGAAGTATGCTGAACTTCCACGGCGAGGGACAACTAAAACAATTGAAATTCCAATAACTATGGAAGAGGGGCAAGCACAAAACATAGCTGAGATTTTGCTTTATTCGTCATGGCAAGAAAGAAATATATATAACTTCAAATTACCGATAAAATACGCTTGGCTTTCCCCCAGTAGTGTAATCTCCATTTTGGATGGAGAGAAAAAACATACTGTAAGAGTTATAAAGACAAAACTTGAGAGTATGTCAATTCAGGTGAGTGGGGTAGGGTATGATCACTCTATATATAAGCTATCTTTTCCTGCAATAAAGTCTTTTATAGTCAAAGAATCACCTCCTTCTCACTTGAGTAAAACCAATATAGATATTATATATCTACCGTATGTTAGCGACAATAACTTATATTTTACTTTAAGTGGTGAAGAAGAAGGCTGGAGAGGTGCAATACTCTTTATTTCTGAAGATAATAAAAACTATGTGCCTCTAGCAAATGTAAATAGGCAATCTACTTGTGGATATGTTATGGAATGCAATGAAGAGGAATTTATGGTGATACTAAGTTCTGGTAAGTTGAGTACTGTTTCGATGGCATTAATTGGAACAGAAATAATTCAGTTTCAGAATGTTGAGCTGATAGAAACAAATAAGTACAAGTTGAGTAATCTGAAAAGAGAACAGCAAGGCACTAAGAAGTATACTCATCACCCAGGAGAAAAATTTACTTTGCTTGATGATGCAGTAGTACCTTTTAAAGCAATACCAGGGAAAAAAATTTTTCTTAAGGCAGTGACTTATGGTGATTCACTGGAAAATACGGAAGCAAAGATGATAGAAAATAAAGTTTTGAAAGTTTGCTAAAATTTCAAGGGCTGGAGTAAGCCGTTAAAGCGGGCTTTCAATTTTTGAAATGTCATCACATTATTGATGCGTTTATCGAGAAATGATAAGGTGTCGGCGAAATCTTCTGAGTAATCATTAATAAAAAAGAATATAGTGCTTAAGTATACCATAGATAGTATCATTCTCTTTGTATAATAATTAAAATCTGTTGATTGATCATGAATGCAATACCAAATTGTACTTACGGTTCTATAAAGAATTCTACTAGAAAAGTATACATTTTGTGGTAGCAGAGAGAATGATAAAATATTTTTTAAGAATTCTCTATAGTTAGGT